CCAATTGCTTGTATTACTGCTTCTGAGCAATAAAAGACAAATTGACTTTAAACTTCAGGGCAAATATAGTAAGTTCATGTACCAAAATTGAGACATAACTATTTAGTATTTTGACATTTTAAAGGAAGATATAGCTAGAAATATTAATAGGTGGGAGAAACATTGTCAAGGAAATGTCAAGGAAAAGGACATAATATTCTTTGGAATACTTTTATAGATAGTAATATAGTCCTACCTCGGGTTACAGACACTTCAGGTTGCATTTTTTTCAGTTTGTGGACCGCTGAAACCCGGAAGTACTGGAACGGGTTACTTCCGGGTTTCGGCAGTCGCGCATGCGCAGAAGTGCTAAATCACGCTTTGCGCATGCACAGAAGTGCTGAATTGAAACCCACGTGTGCGCAGACACGCTGCTGCGGGTTGCAAATGTGCATCCTGCACGGATCACGTTCTCAACCCGAGCGTCCACTGTAGTTGAAAAACTAGTAACTTGGCAAGCATATTGGCACTTAAATTTTACGTGGGGGAAAAAGAACAATGTAACTTTGTATTTGAACATCTCCCTCTGCAGAAATAGCAGATTAAAGAGGGTGATCCTTCCTCATCTTCTTGCTTACAAGTCCTGTTCGGATATCACTGCTGTACAAAGAGTGAGTAATCAGTTGTACTATTTACACTAGAACCATCATGCAAACCTATTGTTATGCTACAGTTATATTCTGCACTGGGAGAAAATTTAGTTGACAGTGAGCACTGAAGTTTCCAGTTTCCATGCTGGTCACTATCTTAGATAGAATTTCCAGTAAGTGCAGCTTGTTCTTCCACTGCTTATGCTCCTTCTCTGATACACTGTGCATAATTTCCAATATAACCATGCAGTTCTGGGGTATAAAAGTTAACATACGTGTTTTGGACAACAGTGACTTCCTGTCAGGTCCAGCAAAACAAAAAGTTTGCCAATATGTGCCGCTAAAGAAAAAGGCTTTTAAGAATATTTGTCTACTTCTGTTCTTATGAGCTGCATATCTGACCCCATCATCACTAAACATTTAAAGCGGTGTCATACCATTTTAAACAGTCATAGATCCCCCCAAAGGACCCTTAGAACTAGTTTGTCAAAGGAGCTGAGAGCTGCTAGAAGACCCCTATTCCCTCACAAAGCTACAATTCCCATAGTCCCCGGGAGATGGATTGATTGTAAAACCATTCTGGAAATTACTGTTTTGTAAGCGGAATGAGGTCTCTCTGTCGCTAGCATTCAAAATAAAAAATGAACTCCTTGGCATAATGAGACTTTTTATTTCCTGGTCTATGAGCATTGAGAGATTGTCATCATGTTTTAGGGTTTTAATACTAACACAAGGGTCAAATATTTTTAAATTTTCAGAGTTCTCAATGTCTTGTAGGAGGGTTATAAGTGCCTTAAGAAACATATATTTCACTGTATTAAAAATAGATACTTAGTTCTTACAGGTTTAGGTGTATGTTAGTGTGTTGCAGAGGTTTTCAACCTTTTTGGGTCCACGGCTCCCTTTACCAACTACATTCTTTCTGTGGCCCCCCGTGAGGCTCAGGAGCCCAGTTATGTCACCCCTTCCTGCAGAGGCGGCAGCCCCTCACCCCCTTTTGAACCTTTTGTATCCAGTCCTGGCATCCAATGAAATATGGATGTGTTTACAGGTGTGTGTCTAATATAGGAGAGGTAAACAGGAACTGAGCAGAAACAGCAAACTTTCTTGTATTGTGAATTTTTGAAGGGATATTTACTGAGACTTTTTGTGGGTCTTATAGGAGATACTGGTGAGTACACTGTGGCCCACAGACACCACACTGGCGACCCTGACCTTCTTGTTTTTCCTCCTTCCCAAATCTCTTATATGCTAAACTCATTGGCAATTGCAGAACAGTGTATTTTTTTAAAATTAAGCTGTTTCAATCATCACTGCCACAGTATCAGTATGACCTATTGCATTGGGTGGGAGCTGTAAACTAATGAAGATTATGTGCAAATTAATACTGAACAACTGTAACAGCTTGAGATTTCCTAAAGCTTGCAGAAGAACAAACGTTGAATTCTGGCCGCTACTGGGTATAGTGCAAATGGATCGGACCTGAACATATCTAAAATATAAAACCGTATTCTGTGTTTCAGTTCTTGTTATGTGTGTGTTTCGTTTTGAAACAAAATGGGAAACACTTGTATCCTTTGGGAAGCAAATCCCAGTGAGCATGTTTCTCTGTAAACTTCAATACAGTGGAACCTCAAGTTGCGAACATGATCCGTGCGGGAGGCACGTTCGCAACCCACAGCGCCACGTCTGCGCACACGTGGGTCGCGATTTGGTGCTTCTGCACATGCACAAAGCGCAATTTAGTGCTTCGCATGGACGAGTGCCAAAACGCAGAAGTAACCCGTTCCAGTACTTCTGGGTCTGGAACCGGCGCAACCTGAAATCGCGTAACCTGAAGTGTCTGTAACCCGAGGTACCACTGTATTGTGAAGCTATTTTGCTTACAATTAATGTTTTAGAACATAGTATTTTCTAAACACACATTCCTCTCCCATAGGTGAAAAATTTTGCTGTTATTTATCTTGTGGATATCACCGAAGTGCCAGACTTCAACAAGATGTATGAACTGTACGATCCCTGTACAGTCATGTTTTTCTTCAGGTATACTATAACTTTTATATTTTCAGCTGATAAGTGTTTTCCAGGCTTTCTCTAATTTTTGACCGAATCCGTTTATTTGTGTCATGTAGTGCAACTAAATAAGCTGCAGAATAGAGTAACTTTATTGATGTCTGTAATACTACGAATTTCTGTTGAATACCACTGGTACAGCACTGGATACAACCCCATTAATCTAATCTAGTTTTAGTATAAAGGAAATATACATTAAAGTAAATCACTCCATCCTGCCCAAATGTATTTGGAGATAGGGAGGAGTATATATTGCAGAACATGGGGGCTACATGAAATACTATGTAACTATAACATATTAATAATATCCTTCCCCATTTTTCTTTCCTTTCTTAAAGAAACAAGCATATAATGATTGATTTAGGCACTGGTAACAACAACAAAATTAACTGGGCAATGGAGGACAAACAAGAGATGATTGACATCATAGAAACAGTTTATAGAGGAGCACGTAAAGGTAGAGGTCTTGTTGTATCACCCAAGGACTACTCAACCAAATACAGATATTGATCATTTGATCATTTTACTACAAGTCTACTTCTGGAGCTTCGTAAACTCAAACTTTGTATAAAGTGTTCTTTCTTGCTTTCGTCTCCATTGTGAATATATATTTGAATTTATGTAAATATGTTACCTTATTTTTTATGCAAAAAAACTTACTTGATTTTAGAAATAAAGTATGTCTTTTACACATAAAGTGTTTTGAATCTTACATTTTTCAGAATATTATTTTTATAAAACTATTATTTTCTATAGGAATAGATTGAGCTATGTCCAGTTGAAACATAACAAATGCCTCTAGACAACATAAACCATATTTCATCAGAATATAAAAATACAGTACAGTGGTACCTTGGTACTTGAAGGGCTTGGCTCCTGAACGCCGCAAACCCAGAAGTAAGTATTCCAGTTTGTGGACGTTTTTTGGAAGCCTAACATCCAATGCGGCTTCCGATTGAGTGCCGGAAGCTCCTGCAGCTAATTGGAAGCCGTGCCTTGATTTCTGAACCATTTTGGGAGTCAAACAGACTCCCAGAACAAATTAAGTTTGAGAACCAAGGCACCACTGTATAAATCCCACAAGGCACATTTTTTGTGATTGGCTTGGATCCAAATACTGTTCTCCTATCACCAGATGGCTAGGGGTGGTGGAGGTCTGTAGATAGGAGGGATAGGAATGAATTCTCCATCTTGTGCGAGCAAGTAGAAAGTGCCTTACAGAGCAGGAATTTTGGATTCAAGCAATTGTTTAAGGCTCACCTTTAGAATCTGGGAATCTAAAGTGTCATGGATACCAGAAAACATGCATAGCACCAACTGATACTAATCACTGTAATATTAAGTAATCATTGTAATAAGGGAATTCAGTCAGTGTTTTATGTGTTCCACTTTCAGAGCCTAAAGCAGTTCCAGTATAGATTTTTCAAGAAAGTTTGAAGGCAGACAGTATCCATTGCTGGCCAAAAAGAAATACATGTCCCAGGATGTCTTTGAAGAAAAAAGGCAACTTTCCTCCCTTTTATTTCCTCCCCTCTTAGCATAATTATGCTATGTTTTTAAAAAAGGTAAAGGGACGCGGGTGGTGCTGTGGTCTAAACCACTGAGCCTCTTTGGCTTGCTTATATAGGAATTTCCTTCAAAAAGAAATACTTTGTTTGGCCTCTACACACAAATATTTTGTAGAAACAAAACTATAACACTATAATTCACCAGTGGCCATTCCTTATTTGTTTCAAAAGTATCCTCTCAGTTAAAAATTTATATTAATAATTTTGGGGCTGCTCAGCCTCAGGGGGCCCTAATTCTGTGCGTATCTATAAACCTGCCACTGGTTCCTAGGTTTATTTGTGTGATTCACATAATTAATGGTGTTACAAATTGACATGGGCTTGTGTGCTTCTGGGTTACAGTTCTTACATAATTAAGACACCTAATATCTTGAATTTATCCTGAGAATTAAAATCAATTTAGTTCTGGCTGGTCTGTGCTCCAGTGGCATGCAGTGGTCAGAGTTCAAAACATACAACTCATACAGGTACTACTCAGCCAATGAGGTGGGGGGAGGGAACATAGGAGAATGCAAACTTCTGAACTTCTTCCCAGTTGTGTTAGTCTTAGTAGGGTCTCTTCTCATCCAGTGTTCATAACATTTATCCCTGTATGATCTACCAAGAGGAAAAGTAGGGTTGTTGAGCTTTATTTAGTTTTGCCCAAAGTTGTTGAGCAACAAAACTGGCACAGCAGACAACCCTAGGGAAAGATAAGAACCCATGGGCAAAAATACAATGGAAACTTACATGAACATAATCTGTGTTTGTTTATATTATGCTGATAAAAATACGAATCACCATGGTCTTCACTGTTACAGTAAACTAGGTTTCAGTGTTCGTTGGGGTGATTCCAGTGTTAGACACACAGGTAAACTTAAGTAGTCCACCTATCTCAAGGATGAATAATGACTTTGACTCATGCGAAAGTGTTTAAAAGCAAATGATACCTTCATTAGAGAAATAATGAATGCAAGTGACTTTACATGCTCTGCTTGATTTTTCTTCCGCTATAGCCATACAGTTATTCAGTTCCAAGCGTAGGTTTTTTGTCGTTTTCATGTCTCCCTCTTCAATGCTGTACAAAATTAATATTAGCACAAGGCTTGAGTTAAAATTAGGAAAATGAAACCATCAGGCCTGAATTTGGCCTCTAAATAGACTTTCATTATCACATTCCATATTTACATATTCTTCTAATTTATAATGAAAAGAATGCCATTGAATGAGTCGACACATTTTTCAGGTGAATTTTTTTGTACTAGAACAATATAATGTCAGCATATTCTTATGACAGAATATTTAGCTATGCTAAACAGGCATCTGCTATACCATTCTTCTGCAACATGCTGCATCTACTTAATTTTAGTTTCCCTGAACTATCTGTAACTGCATGTCTTCCCTACACTCAGTTGAGTGTTATCTGTCTTGCAGAAACTCACCTACATTTGCATTGTAATTAAACTACTATGCATTCATACCTTCTTTTCCACACCCAAGCACTTTTGAGTACTCAGTTGTTGAATACACTCTTAAAATAACTGCTTCTCTCATTGGCTTGAGTTAACTTCTACCTCTATTAGCCTGTCCATGCTTTAATATTAGCAGAGGGGGATTTTCCTCACTTTCCATTGTTAGGAGATGCTAATTTGATAATGACATGGAAGAGTTCTCTGTGAAGCGCAGTCCTACACTCAGGATTTTTGACATGTACGAGCTAAATAAAATGTACCGTACTAGTTTGCTCAGGTACTTTAAATTTTGTTTGTAAAAAATGTATTCATGACTTTAAATTTTTTTAATGAATCATTGATTTAGCCTTCTCTGTTGAGCTATTTGCTGGTCTTTTTAAGAAAGAAAAAGGTTTTGTTTTGAAAAGGATTTTATCAATAAATCTATCATTGAAGGGTGGCTATTAATCTTCAACCAATCAGTCAATCAATCAATCAATCAATCAATCAATCAATATAATGTATTACTGCAGCCCAAACAAAAAGAACACTGAGAGTGTTTTCGTCTGAACTGGTGTTTCAAAAATATTATACTCACAGACAGATGACTATCAATACCAGATTATTTAACATAACCAGAATCTTACCATTAGTTCTTCACTGGTGTTTTCTATCCCAGCTTGTGCCATTAGTCCAGTAACATGCTTCTCTAAATCATCTATGCGCTCGCCCATTTCATCTGGTAATAAAAGGTTAAAGACCATTGTGGTTGTTTTCTTTGTCTTTAGTAATCAAACAGTGGAAAGACAGATTGCCCCTTCACCGGGTATAGTCTAATGCTCAAAGTGACATGAAACTGAAGGACATGCCAGTCAAGAGTGGTTTTGACTGAGAAAACAGGCTGCAATCCTATATGCATGCTCGGTGAATTCAATGGAACTTACTTCTGTGTAAGCATAAGATTTTTGTTTTAAAGGCATTGGTCAGTATAAATGACTGGTATAGCTTCTCTATGGCCCTTTAATGGCTCTTGGTGGAGTGAAGTAATAAATGAGAGCTACTGGGCTCCCTTATGTATTTGCATAAGATTTATTGGACTCTCATCACTGATTACTGTTCCAGGCAATTAGTACAATTTCTTTTTGGCAATTCCTATTACAATATATTTGAATGTATTTTTATCCAACTTTTAGAATCATAAGCAGTTATTTTGGGGGGGAAATTGGTAATTATAAATCAAGCAGGTTACATAAATGGCTTCAAAAGTGTGATCAATCGGCAGAATTTGTGATTAGTTTTAGAAAATAAACTGAAAAGGATATTTCTTAGAAGTAATTTGTCCGTCAGTGCTTGAAAGTTTTCCTGTAACTGTTGTAGTAGATTTTCTGCCTGGAAAAAAAGATACGGTTAGCAAAATGTGTTTATGCTGTTGGAAAATGAGTCCATCAATTTGCTGTAATAAAATGGCATAAAAATAGTCGGCTTGGATTTTGTACACTGGGATAGGAAATGCTAGTTACATATTAAGGCTGACTAAAGGAAGGTATTGTAAAATGCATGGAAGAAACAAAGGAGAACAGCAATTTTGAACATTGGCAGAGGTTTGCGTAAAGTACCTTCATACAATGGAATATTTTAGGGCTCCACATCCTTTATCTCTCTCACATGAGTCAGCTGAGGAATGGAAGAGGGAAAAGGTTGAGTACAGTGAGAAGGAAAGAATCCTGAAAGAAAAAAGTGGGTGTTTTAAACAAGTGCAGATATCTAGTAAAGTAGGAATGGAGGGACCCATGGGTGTAGCCAGGGGGAGCAGCTGCCCCCCTAAATCAAGTAAATAAATAAAAATACTTAACTGACCAATTGCATCGCAGATAACTCGGTTCTGCCTCCCAACACAATGTTTGCCCCCCTAAAATAAACCCTGGCTATGCCCATGGCTCAGGGACCAAGGAAAATTGTGGTTTAAAACAACAGTACAGTAGATGTCTAGATAAAGTAAGGATAGAGGGACCCAGAGGAAAAGTAAGATTATGAATGGAAGAGCACAGTCCTGTGGTCACTGAGAAGCTTTCTTAAGGGCAAAGGATATTGTAGATGCCTCACTATGAATGTGGAGAGAGAATTTCATTCTTTGAGAACTCTTTGCTGTGGCCACAGAGGTTTCAGCTCTGCAGCACCAGTGCTCTGATGCAAGGAGATGGTTCATTATCTGGGGGAGGGCAGATTGAATGAGGCAGTGGATCCAAAGTCTCCATTTCCTGGATAGACCCTCCAAATTAGAAGAAAACTACACCAGCCCTGGAGCTGGTGTAGGGAATTTGTCCCATGGGACTCAATAGGAGCAAAACTGAAAACCAAATGAAACAAAAAACAAGAACACTGGAATTGTTGGGAAAGAAAACTGAATGACAAGCCCAGTGGGACTCAGATACAGTGCTTCTTCCACCATTAAATCTGCCCACCCATCATGATGAGATGGCTCTGCCAATCTGTTTCAACAACATATTTTTTCTCTGTAACATTTCTGTTTACGTGTGAATGCTACTAATATGCTCAGGGGTGGGGGCAGAAATGATTGCATAAGTGCTTGGCACACCAAGAATTTATATATGACATGGAAGCTATAATTATCAATGTGTGATTATAAAAGAACAAAGAAGCTCAAGGATGAAATCCATTATGTAACATGCTATTGGGAAATGAGAATCTTGTAAGCAGAGTGTGCAACAACCGTGTATTGTAAAGTTAGTATCTCTGTACCTGTCAGCATCCTAAAAATAGAAAACAGGCCCATATCCAGCTGAGAGAGGATGATTGTATTGTATATAAAGGTAAAGGTAAAGGTACCCCTGCCCGTACGGGCCAGTCTTGACAGACTCTAGGGTTGTGCGCCCATCTCACTTAAGAGGCCGGGGGCCAGCGCTGTCCGAAGACACTTCCGGGTCATGTGGCCAGCGTGACAAAGCTGCATCTGGCAAGCCAGCGCAGCACACGGAAACGCCGTTTACCTTCCCGCCAGTAAGCGGTCCCTATTTATCTACTTGCACCCGGGGGTGCTTTTGAACTGCTAGGTTGGCAGGCGCTGGGACCGAGCAGCGGGAGCGCACCCCGCCACGGGGATTCGAACCGCCGACCTTTCGATCGGCAAGCCCTAGGCGCTGAGGCTTTTACCCACAGCGCCACCCGCGTCCTATCCATATTGTATATACGGTACTTTAAAAGTTACATTTACTCTACCAATTGTGATTAAGATATATAGAATTCAAGTAGGAACACTTTCCCTTGTGGCTTTTGTTACTTATAACAAATATGAATTTCTGTGTATGAACAGTGAAACAATCGGTTGGTGGCTTTTAGTACAGCAACCTTTTGTTGATTAATTAGTTAATGCAATATAGCAGTCTCATCAACTAAAAAGCTACAGTGATAAGATTATTGCACTGTTAATAGTTTTTTGAAATGCAATACAAGTCCTCATTGCCTCTGCAGCTCATGTGTACATCAGCTAAGTCTAAGATGAGAACAAACTGTTTCTCCCTTTAAAGCCGCTTTGTCTTGTATGCTGATTTGGGCAGACAGACGGGAACCGATTTGACTAAAACTCATTATTAATCGGCTAAGATTTCTTTGTGTGGCACAACCTATATGACACGCCTGTGAAGTACGAAAATGAAACAGGGGCAAGGATTAATTACTAAAATGAAAGTATCGTTTTAAGACTCCTGCACTTATCTGAATACTTCACGTTTATTATCTCCTGGTTAGGACTGTGATACGAATTAAAAGTATATAGTCTCATTTCCTGGAGTAAAGGCAAAGTTGAAAGTGGTATTAACTACCAGAGTGGCAACATAGGACGTGACACCTTCAGTTAAGAGGAATAACCGTGTCGTCGTCGTCCCTTCTATTTCCCTTCTATTTCCGTATTTCTGCCCTTTCTGCCTTCAGCTACTTTTTTCTGAGAGGCAAGAACCCCCCCCCCCAATATGGACCGCCTTCCCTGCGGCTGCAAGTTGGCGAAATCTTCGACGGCTGGATTTCTCCCTGACCCGCTAGAAGTAGTACCCCATTACCCACGCCCTATTTATTGCCAAAACAGCGACGAGACCCGTCCCCTCATTCCATGCAGCGACACATTTCGTGAGGGAGGCGCAGCCTTTGGGCTACAACCCACGCAGCCCCGAGAGGCGCCGCCAAGTGCGAGGCAGCGTCCAGCACTCACGAACTGAGAGAGCTCCCTGGCGCTCTGAGGGTCGTTGTCCGCCATCCTGTCCTCCTCCTCCCTCGCTGTGGTGGCGCCGCCGCCGCCTCGTCCCTCGCCTTCCCGCTCTTCACCTCCTCAAACGGCCGCTGGTTGGCAGGACAGTGGGAGAAGCGGGAGCCGGCGGTGCGCGCCTTCAGCCCCGCGCCTGCGCGGCGACGGGGTAGTGGTGGCCGTTGAGCCTGCCCGCCTCCGCCCCCGCAGCGACCCGCCCGCGTGTTTTGTCGCCAGGCGGCAGCCGTTGATGGAAGGCCGCGCTTAGTTCCCCCCCAACTGCCAACTTCCAACGTTCAAGGCACAGCTTGGATGTTTCAATGAATAGTACAAGTTGAGGGGAGGGATGTATTCATGCAGTGTTTTTTTTCCTCCTCTTTAAAAATGTTTAGGGGTACTCTCATTTTTCTGCTCATATTGAAATACTGCCCCTCAATGAGGCCAAACTTAGATTCACACAATGTTTAGGGGTATGCGTCCCCCCAGAAAAAAATCACTGTATATAGTATATATACAGTATTCCCTCTCTCATGTGGCTCTGAACATAAACCCCTCCCCCCATCAAATATAGTAAAAACAACAAGAAGAGAGAACTTTTCTATAAAAAAAGAGAAAATACTTTTTAATTAATAAGAAAGTACATAACATCAAGAAAACGAAGGAGAGGAGACATAATCCTGGTAAGTATGGTCATTTCATCATTATTTAAGTGTATGTCCCACTGTTGATGTGCACCACGCATATCCCAGGCGGAACAAGGCTTTATTTCACCCTGGTCAAAGACCCAGTTGGCACCCATTTGCCCGCACACACACACAAAGGCTGGGAGCCTCAGTTTCAATAGCTAGCTGTCATTTGGCAGGGAAAGGAGACTATGGTGCTAGAGAAAACAAGTCAAAAGCCCTGCTGGACTGGCAGAACTGGTTTCACAGTTCTTGAGATCCTGACCATAATATTTGGAAGGAAACGCAGGCCACATATCTCCATGTTGTCAATGAGGAATTCTTTAAAGGAGTGTCTGGCAAGCATAATTAAGGTTGAAACATACTCTCAAATGTTCCTGCTCACTCTTGAGTACACAGATGGCTTGCATTTGCTGAGAAAATATGTGTGAGAAACTGGCAGAACAAGTTATACTAGTACTGTAGATTGTGACTGCTTTTCTTTGAGCTTTCTGGGAGTCATCCAAAAAAACTGGATAAACGGATACCTGACTGAATATATCCGTATTTACAAAAACGACAAAGATTATTATTGCAAAGCTTATTATTGATGGTTACATGCATATGTGTTGTTTAAAATTTATCATATTAATCTCAACTGCATTTCTAGTTTCATTATGAACTGTAAATGTTTCCATGTCATAAATGGCAACTGTGGGGAGGAAAAATTACTTGTCCAGTGCCACACAGAACACCATAGCTCAGCTAGGGAGTCCCATACGTTGCTGAGCCGCAGACCAAATACTGCCCTTTTGTTCTTAATATGATTTGTGTTTTATTTTGGTCAGGAGTATGCTGGGCAGTATAATTATAAAGTCCCCTGTCCATGTTGGTTAGACGTGACAAAAGATAAGGGGAAAAGTTGAGGATTGGCAATTGAGATGTGAGAACTGAAGATGGCATCCAATAGTAATGGAAGGATAGGTGAGATGGGAATGTGATTGAAGATGGAATTGTATTTCTCTTCCCACAGTTTCTTCCTGGTGGGGCAGGGACTGCAGCTTTCCAAAAGTGTCAGAGGCCACCGTGTGCTTCCTCCAGCTCTACAGATTGTATCAATCTGCAAAAATAATTGTAGGTGAAAGGCTGGCAGGAATACTTGTGGTTAAATTAGACTTGATGGGAAATGCTGGATGTGTACCATTTGATAATGAAGAGGGTGGGATATCTTAGTAAAAAAGAAAAGAAAAGAAATTGAGGGATGAAGCCTTCTTGTTAGGCTGCTGCATTGCCAAAGGTTAATTTCTTCATAATAATAATAAAAATTTATTATTTATACCCCGCCCATCTGGCTGAGTTTCCTCAGCCACTCTGGGCAGCTCCCAATCGAGTGTTAAAAACAATACAACATTAAATATTAAAAACTTCCCTAAACAAGGCTGCCTTCAGGTGTCTTTTAAAAATAGGATATCTGCTTATATCCTTGATATCTGATGGGAGGGCGTTCCACAGGGCGGGTGCCACTACTGAGAAGGCCCTCTGCCTGGTTCCCTGTAACCTCACTTCTCACAATGAGGGAACCGCCAGAAGGCCCTCGGTGCTGGATCTCAGTGTCTGGGCTGAACGATGGGGGTTCATCTCCTGCCTTCCTCTCCTGCAGATAATCAGTTCCAGCAGGACATTGTTTCCTTGTTCATGCACGGTTTGATAAAAGAAAATAAAGGGAGGTAGACTGTTTTGTGTGACTGGTTGAAGCTAGCTTCCATCATAGCCATTAAGAAGAACTGCATGGGATTCATTATAGTCAGGCTGTGATATGAGCAAGTGTGTGCTAGAACAAGATGCATGATGACTGCCACATGAGATGTGTGACCTCTAGCAACCGTGAAGTATATGCTATTACTTAAGCTGACATAGAAAAGCTATTTATGGAACAAAGGTTTCTCTGACCCCTTGACAGTAATTTAGCTTATAACTGAGATGCATGAAATATCACAGATCACTTTAAAATAAAATACAAGGCACATTCTAGATCATTTTCAGGTGTCTGGTATTACTTTGCTATCAATATATCAGTAACATATTTCTTAAATATATTTACTGAGTTGCATGAGAGACCCTCATGGTCTGTCCCAACTCTACAATTCAATGATTTTATGTTTTGCTGCCCCAGCTCAAGGCTGATGTAGCAGAGGAGCCTGTCTCAAGCCTCCAAACTTTAAATGGAGCAGTTTAGGATTCAGCTGATCCATGGCTGGTCCTGCTCCACTATCTGCAACACTCCAGTTTTGTGGTCTTACACTGACTATCATTAGCAGAACTTCTACCACCAGTTGCTTCCTAGCCATCCATACTTTTAATAAGTGCTTCAGGAGCCCCCACAGTAGCAGAGGTTTTTGGAGGGGTGCCTCTGTACAGCCATATCACTACTATTAACATAAAGGTTGTTATCCCATTGAACCGTGTTCTTCTTGGGATTGTACTGTAGCCTGAATTTTCTTTGGGAGCTGGAACCTCCTTTTTAGATATGACCATTTCAGCAACCATGTGAGAATAGAGTATACATGCACACAAAACAGTAACTGTGAAGTAATCTCTGAGGAATATCAGTAGCACTCCAGAGCTTTACATTTCCTACAAGGACTTAGAACAACACCTGGGGGACCACTAGTTCCCCAATCCCCAGCCCTGTTTTAGAGAGCTGGTTTTATTGACGTTTTGGCATTTATAACTCTGAATTCTGCTTTGGTTAAAAGCAACCTTGAATATAAAAAAGGGATTAAATACTACTACTAATAACGGAAGTCAATTATCCATCGGTTCACTGCTTCAAAGGTCATCACAAGTCCTGTTCGAGGCAAGAATTTACATACAGTGCATAAAAAAATTGATAATTGATTGGGGGAACGGACCAGCAATTACTTTTTACCAATAGTTAAAAATAGCAAGTTCTCTGCTGTTGCTTTGGCGAGGATGACGTCATTTGAAAAGCCTTTTAGAAACACCTTCCTTGACGCTGCTCTGCGAAAAAACACTTTTTTCCTCTCCCCATATCTTGGGGAAAGCAATCCCACCAAGCACACTCCAGTACTCGCATGGCAGAGAGACTGGCGCAAAAAAAAAAGAAAAGTACCCGTTCTTAAAAAGACAAATAAACTGGGACGTCGCTTCCTCTTGCCCGCTTCTCCAAATCGTCACGGACGCGTCTCGCGCTAGGACCCGGGAGTGGCGGGGCCGGGTGCGGGGCGGTTCCTTCCATTGACGGAGGCGCTGCTGGCTGTCGTGACGTCACATAGGCAGGGCCGATTCCCTCGCTACCGAGCGCTCCTGCTTATTGTCGCCAACCGCTCAGAAAGAGCAGCGGCAAAAAAGAAGCTGCACGGCGGCGGAGGCGCGAGCTGCTGCATCTGGGGAGGCGTCGCGGGCCGGGGGCCGGAAGAGGGGCGCGGGGCGGGGGGAAGGAGGAAGGTCGGTCGCCGGCGGCGCTGCTCCCTCAGGCACCCGCAGGAAGAGGAGGAGATGCGCGGGTTTCGGTGCGAGGGGCCCTCGGCGGCGTAACTGTTCCTGATAAGGCGAGGTGAGATGGAGGCTGCGAGAGGTCACGTCCCAGAGCACTTTCTGGCTGTTGGGGAGCTCGCGCAGAGCTCCTTTTTGAGGCGGGGGCGGGGAGAGTTTGGGAGAGTTGCTAGGATGAGTAGGAGGGAAGTCGAGGGTGGAACGGTTGCTTTGTGCTAGAGCAGGAGGCTGCCATTCAAAAGGCAGGCATCAGTCACTTCGGGATAAGCGAATTATGTCTCTCTCCAAAAAGTTCCCCTTCCTTTCCCGAACTGTTATAAGGCTCTTCCTGTGAAGGCTGCGGCCAGTTCCCCCAAACCCTGCCTGTCCTCTGGAGGCTGAGATGGCTCAGCTGTGCTCAGCAGTTCACAGTTGATCATATAGGCTCAGTAGGATGCGTATATGGGAAGTCTGCAAAGTTTCCTCAAAAATAGAATGTAGAAGAGCTGCCCCAGCCATTCCTGTGCACCTTAGTCAAGCCATACTCGGTAGCACTTGACATGCCTTTTTCATTTCCTTCATCTGGTTTCTCTTTTTACTATAACTTCTTGGGATTCTCTCTTCTCTCTCTCTTTTTGGGTTTTTTTTGTTAGAGCCGTCACTTCCCTTTCCTTTCTCTATGGTCTTTACACCATACAAGCAGTTAGTGGGGCAATCAGATTTGAAAGAGATATATTTCACTGATTAATTGGTTAGATAATTGATTCCATGTGACTTTTCAGAAAGTGCTCCCAGTTGATTGGGCAGCAGATTTTAATTGATTTAAAATAAAAAATCAACTAGTTATAAAAGTGCAGCTGGCAAGTGTTGTCTTCTAACAGAAATACCCTCTTCTCACACACACATTTAATTAGGTGTCCTCTCTAAACCTCATTCATGTGCTCCTTCATCCCTATGTTGTCAAGTAGATGTTGGTCTGAATCACATAACTATCTATTCCTGGTGAGATTTGTTCTAATTGAGCTGATTT